GTTTAACCGAGGATGTCCCCAACATGTAACTTTTGTGAAAACAGGGGGTGGGCGCTTGCCCAGGGAGGGGCACGTGCCCGGGGTAATACGGTAGATATCATAGGACACTGCACAGACCTGATAGTTTTTAGGGTAATATCAGTAGATATTAATTACCAAATTTGCATAATTATTTAATTTTCAGCTTTTGATATTTCAAGTAGTAATCATCACATTTCAATGAAATTTGGTGCATAGATGTCATAGGACACTGCACAGACCTGATAGGTTTTAGGGTAATATCTGTATATATTAATTATCTAATTTGCATAATTAATTAATTAATTAATTAATTTTCAGCTTTTGATATTTTTTGTAGTAATCATCACATTTCAATAAAACTTGGTACATAGATATCATATGACACTGCACAGACCTGATAGGTTTTAGGGTAATATCAGTATATATTTTAATTTAATTACCTAATTTGCATAATTAATTAATTTTCAGCTTTTGATATTTCAAGTAGTAATCATCACATTTCAATGACACTTGGTACATAGATGTCATAGGACACTGCACAGACTTGATAGTTTTTAGAATAATATCAGTACATATTAATTACCTAATTTGCATAATTAATTAATTTTCAGCTTTTGATACATCAAGTAGTAATCATCATGTTTCAATGAGACTTGCTACATAGATCTTCTAGGATTATGCAGAGACCTGATTAGTTTTAATTGGATATTAATTACCTAATTTGCATAATGTTCCACTGATGTATAAATTGGATTTTAAAGAAACTTCTAAAGAGAACTATGCAGAAACCCAATTAGTTTTTGGTAAATATTTATGCTTATTAAACACCTAATTAACATAATTAATTAACACTGATATCTCAATTACTGATCATCACATGTGAATATAATTTCAAATTGGTACATAAATGCTCTAGGCCTGATTAATTTTTTTTTTAAATTTGTTCATATTAATTCTCTATTCAGCACAATAATTGATAATTTTTTTGTTCTGTTCTGTTCTGTTCATATTAGTTACCTGATTTACATAATTAGTTTTCAGCTTTTCCATCAATATCTCATGTACAAGTAATTTTGAATTAATTTTTAATGTGTCTTCAATACTCTTAGCACACGGGAGTTCTTTCTAAGCTTTCTTTGATTACTGATGATTTCGTTATTCTATCACACGGAATTTCCATGTAATAACTTCTATACTAGTAATATACAGTAAACATTTTCGCCGCTACCAATGTGTGGATATTATATGAAAATTTGAGGCCAAAGTAAATTCACGTTTTGTTTACCGAGCGGAATTATGATAACAGAAGTTCTTGACCGGAGGTATTTTCCCACTTGTTATATTTGCAGTCTGCAGGAGTAGTATGTATACGGAATGTGCTTAGGAAGGTTCGTTTTCAGTTTTACTGTATACGAGATCAGTACCTTCAATAGACCGATGCATTACCTCCATGACCGATGCAACGGAAACAGACAAGTCGGCGGATTTTCTTCGCGACTGTTTAGCAACAATCTGGTTTTGTGTTCAATATCCGGTGGTCTGCCGCCTTTACTTGTGGGCTATCATCATCTTGAATTAGTTTTATTCCGCGTCATATTTGCCCGGCGATGTAAATATTACGGAGCGCGCGATGTTTGAAATCATGGCATATAGCTCTGTATTTGACCATGGACGTACATCCATGGTTTGACGCAAATTACCGAACAGACTAACGTGTACTTGGTTTGAAATTCAATTGTTATATTTTAAACAAGCAAATTGGGATCGGTTCAAAGGATGTTCATATCAGTTGTTGTTTTGTGGGATTAGCGGGACAGGGGTGGAAGATAAGCATTCATTTACTTAGTGGACAGAGGCGGAGTTAATTATCCATGAGCACTTGGTGCAATCCATGGAATTGAGCGGTTCCTCTTTAACTGTAATGTACTGTTGCAGATAGGGCCATGCAAGTGGTTCTATAATTTTGTTGTCTGACAAGATATATCACCAAAATATCAAGTCATCATACATGATTATTATTTCATGAAATATGTTGTTAAACATATCTACTTGAAACCACTATAATCATTGATTGCAGTTATATGTTTAATTACTCTATTTTCTCTATTAGAAACACATGTGCTTTTATTGTAAAAATAAAAGACAAAGACAGGTTTATGGTCACGATAAAACATATTTTAATGATTTTGCATACAATAAATACAATTTTTGTTTTGAAGTATTGATGATGCGCTTTAATATAGTAAATACAGTATTTTCTATTGTTACTTCTGGCCTCTAATATCTTCAACACACAGGATTCCTTTCTAAGCTCCCTTTGATTCTTCTAGCCACATGACCACAAGGGTAAAATGTCAATGACTTGTAACATGTAGTTTTTTTTCGGGACTATTGTTTTCTAAACCAGTTTACTTTTATATTGCCAAAAGTGCTTACATGGGATTACACACACATAAACAATAGCATTTGTAAAACAAATTAAAAATAATGAATTTGTTTTCTTTATTTCAGGTGTTTTGGACTGTCCCTGAATTGTAGTAAATGAAGTGTAAGCAAATCATTTGGCTTATGTAATTGATGACATGGTAAATGAGCTGTGTCTCAAACTGCAGTACATTTAGAAATTGTACAAAAAGGTGTGAATATTATGTGGAGGGATTCAGTCAATTGGGTCACCTATATCAACTAAGTGCTGAACATGAAAACTGGCAGCTGGGACAACTGATTTCCTCGTGATCTGTACAAAAGAGCTTTACTGTGTTATCAAATGTCACTGGCAAAACATGTTGACATGAATATCCAATGTCAAAGATGTGAGAAAATGTTTACTTATTCAAGTCAACTCAAACGCCACATATTAACACATACAGGTGAAAAGCCATTCCAATGTCAGAAATGTGAGAAGAGTTTTACTTGTTCAGCTGGTCTCGAGCGACACATGTTAATACATACAGGTGAAAGAACTTTCCAATGTCAAAGATGTGAGAATAAATTTACCTGTTCAGGTAGTCTCAAACGGCACATGTTAATACATACAGGTGAAAAGCCTTTTCAGTGTGATAATTGTGAGAAGAAATTTACCCAGTCAGGTCACCTTAAACTGCACATGTTAAAACACACAGGTGAAAAGCCTTTTCAGTGTGAAAAATGTAATAAGTGTTTTACTCGTATATATCATCTTAAGCGACACATGTTAACACATAAAGGTGAAAGAACTTTCCAATGTCAAAGATGTAATAAGTGTTTTACTTGTATATATCATCTTAAGCGACACATGTTAACACATAAAGGTGAAAAAAATTTCCAATGTCAAAGATGTGAGAATAAATTTACCTGTTCAGGTAGTCTCAAACGGCACATGTTAATACATACAGGTGAAAAGCCTTTTCAGTGTGATAATTGTGAGAAGAAATTTACCCAGTCAGGTCACCTTAAACTGCACATGTTAAAACACACAGGTGAAAAGCCTTTTCAGTGTGAAAAATGTAATAAGTGTTTTACTTGTATATATCATCTTAAGCGACACATGTTAACACATAAAGGTGAAAAAAATTTCCAATGTCAAAGATGTGAGAATAAATTTACCTGTTCAGGTAGTCTCAAACGGCACATGTTAATACATACAGGTGAAAAGCCTTTTCAATGTGAAAGATGTAATAAGTGTTTTACTCGTATATATGATCTCAAACTGCACATGTTAATGCATACAGGTGAAAAGCCTTTTCAATGTCAAAGATGTAATAAGTGTTTTACTTTTATATATCATCTTAAGCGACACATGTTAACACATAAAGGTGAAAGAACTTTCCAATGTCAAAGATGTAATAAGTGTTTTACTTGTATATATCATCTTAAGCAACACATGTTAACACATAAAGGTGAAAAAAATTTCCAATGTCAAAGATGTGAGAATAAATTTACCTGTTCAGGTAGTCTCAAACGGCACATGTTAATGCATACAGGTGAAAAGCCTTTTCAATGTGAAAGATGTAATAAGTGTTTTACTTGTAAATATCAACTCAAACGGCACATGTTAATGCATACAGGTGAAAAGCCTTTTCAGTGTGAAAAATGTAATAAGTGTTTTACTTTTATATATCATCTTAAGCGACACATGTTAACACATAAAGGTGAAAAAAATTTCCAATGTCAAAGATGTGAGAATAAATTTACCTGTTCAGGTAGTCTCAAACGGCACATGTTAATACATACAGGTGAAAAGCCTTTTCAATGTGAAAGATGTAATAAGTGTTTTACTTGTAAATATCATCTCAAACGGCACATGTTAATGCATACAGGTGAAAAGCCTTTTCAGTGTGAAAAATGTGAGAAGAAATTTACCCAGTCAGGTCACCTTAAACTGCACATGTTAATACATACAGGTGAAAAGCCTTTTCAGTGTCAAAATTGTGAGAAGAAATTTACCCAGTCAGGTCACCTTAAACTGCACATGTTAAAACACACAGGTGAAAAGCCTTTTCAGTGTCAAAATTGTGAGAAGAAATTTACCCAGTCAGGTCATCTCAAACGGCACATGCTAACACATACAGGAAGCCAATATGAAATGTGTAAGAACAGTTTTATCCAATCAAGTTGTCTCCAACAACACAAGTTGTCACAAAACGAGAAAAAACCAATCAAAGGTCCAAGATGTTCGAAATGTTTTATTCATTTAAAAAATCTTAAACTGCGATTTTCAACATGTGCTTGTCTTAAACTATTGGCCAATGTCGAGAATACTTCATGGATAGGACTGTTTAGAAATGGAAAGGGCATGTCACAGCAACCAAATATTGAATCTAAAAACTTGATAAATACGGAAATTGGAGTTGAATTTAAAAGGGAAATTAGCCCACTTAGTAAAATAAAATATGATATAGACGCATTCAGAGTTTGTTTCTTATACTAGATTAAATCAACTAGCTGAATATAAACTGTTGCTTATTTGTATTTAACATCATGTAACAAAAAAAATAGAAAAAAATATATCGGTTGTAACCAGTTCCTCTGTTTTGTATTATTCTTTTTCAATACCACACAGTTTTCATTTAGAATCATTTCTCCACTTCACTGATCAATGTTTACATTTATATAGGTTATCACACAAGGTAGTATGTTATTAATGTCACAATAAAGGACAACATTATGGTCGAAGACTGATGCTGAACACAGGATAACAAGTTATGATTATCACTTATACTTTAATAAACTTGCACCATAAACAAGCAGTTTATATAATACAGCATTATGATACATTATCAGACTTTTCTGAAATCAATAAATGTTGTAAACGTTGACAATTCACATGATTTTAGCACACTGGTCGTGAATTAATAAATGTGGTCTGCGCTGCTTCTAGCATTTCAAAATCTATCAGCCAATACAAAATCAGAAATTAAATTAAGTACGGAAATGTATAACTTTGATGTACATATTGAATACCCCCATATGCATTTGGAGAAATCCAAACATTTCGCCAAACTCTTCAGATAAAAATAGTTGAAAACGACAGTCAGATGCAATAGTGACATTTTTTCAACCTT